ACACTCCCTTCGCCGCAGCTTCTTGAAACGCCGGCGGCCGGCCGGTGGGCGATTCACAATGACTCTGACTGCACCGCTCAGCAGCATTGCCTACCGTCGACTTGCCGCGCCTTACTATGCTTCTTAGTATATTGACCGAGCGCAAAGGGCCACGGCGGACTGCATGGTCTCGTCGTCGCAGGCGCTGCATATGGGCTCTTGCGTCGACGGTGATGCACCATCAGTCACGCCTGCCCCAGCGGCCTGCTGCAGTCCAACTGGATGTCGGTAGACTACAACAGTACATGAGTGGCTTCATCGCGTTGCCTGTCAATTGTGAGAGCGTCCCTTACGATGGCTCGCTCTCTTTTACCTAGCTCCGCTCGTATCTGCTTTGAGGTGAGCAAGGCGTCCTTTTCCCTTGTCGCCTGCGCTCCCTCTTGATACGCCAACGAACATGTGCGCCAGCCTGTCTGTCCCGCAGGCAAATTAGCAGCTCCGAGCTCTCGCACTTCGGTGCTGATACACACAGAGACATGCTAGACCAGGAAGCCGTTCAGACGCACATGTCAGACAAGACTTGGGGTGCAATATTATCGTCCATTGAATTGGGCACTGCCACTGAGGTCGAGAGAAGCTTGAGTCGAGCAGATACATGCAAACACTCCCGGGCAAGCAGGCACTGTGAGAAGCGAAGAGTTATGCGTAAGGGGACAGGATCGGCGGGCCAAATGATTATGCTGAAAGGACAAAGCAGCTGTGACGTAGGCGCAAGCTCAAATGTCGTGCTTTTGCATGCGAGAACGCTTGCGGTGACGCTCCAGCAAGCTTCGGCCAGACAGGTGAGGGTGATCGATGCTGCCGTCCTCGAACGAGGCGATGACCTTGTCGACCATGTCGGCGATGGCGCCTTCCTTGACGCCAGCATGTGCAGGTCGTGACTCGCCGCTCGAGGGCTTGCCTTCCAGCGCCTTGGCCTGTTGTACTGCGAGCGTGTTGTTGGGAGTAGACTGCTTGGTGGAGTTGGACTGAGAAGCAATACGGGCGTTGCCAGCAGCTGGCAATTGCGTCTCGCCAGCGGTGGGCTGAGCACCGACCTTGCCGTTACCGACGGTGATGAACTTTCCTTGAGAGGGCACACCGTCCACCACGACGAACGCGAGCGCAGGACCAGGGGCGAAAAGAGCTGGGTTGGGGGGCAATTGAGCGACGTTGACAGTACTTCCAGAAACGCTAGTGCGCAGCTCAATCATCCTTTGACCCATGTTCATGGCGTGGGTCGAGAAGCCAGTGCGGACAATGACGACCTTTGTGTTCCTGGCCGCCGACGCGGAAGCCGCCTGAATGCTGAAGCCTTGTCCACCATAAGAAAAGCTGGAAGGCAAGGCAGAGTTAGATGGGCGAGGCTTGTCGTGGTAGTCCAAGTACAGTCGTTCGACGCTGTATTCGGTCTTCCAATGCTTGTTGGTGACGTCTGGGTTAGGGTTGCTACCGGAGACCAGGACGGAGCCATCCGGCAAGAGTGTTGCGGACGAATGGTACAGACGGCCGACGTTGGCTTTGGCCAAGTTGCGCCATCTCTGGCCGGCTGGCTTCTCTGGGTTGTACGCGACGGGTTGGTAGGACGGGTTGTCGCCGAAGCTGCGGCCTTTGGGCTTGCCGACTTGATTGGGGTCAGTGGTGTAGCCCGCCACACCAGTCGTCACACCATTGAGGAACACGAGCTCTCCAGTAGGAAGCTGAATGAATTGACCCATGCTACGTCCCTCTGCCAAGCTATCCGTGCTCTTCCATTGCTTGTCACCGAGCGGCTCGATGGTGTTGCATTCATTCGAGGCTGGCCTCTCGGTGACCATCACGGCAGGACCTCCCTCGTTACCCCACGCCGAGCCTTTGCCGAGACTCATACCACCGCACTCCAAAATGGTTTCCTTGTAGTTGTTGCTAGGACGGAGTGGCAAGAGCGCAGAGCCACCAGAAGCTGGGTAGTTGATGGGCACGGGAGCAGAGGGCAATTTCTCCTCTTGAAGGGTGTCCGTATTCCACAGAATAGTCTGCTTGTTTGCCTGGACGAACAGACGATTGTCGGAAAGGAGGTAAGTGATGGGATACAGAGAAAGAGGGACACTGCGCTTGAGGATGTCCATGTAGGTAGGCTCTCCAACCTTGGGGTAGAACTCGTACGTGGGCTCATTGCTGCCTTGCGAGGGCACAAATCCACCGTCACGCATTCCACCAAGAATGGCAACGTGACCGTCCCGCAGAGGCTCCACGGTAGCATACCATCTCTCCTTCGAGAGCGAGTTGCTCGTCTTCTCCTTGAAAGCGCAGTCATTGCCGCTGCAAGGGTGAAGAAGACGGATAGATTTGCCTCCGTTGGTGGACTTGTAAGGTGCAGCGCCTGCCTTTGCGTCCACACCTCCTGCCCCGACCGCCTTGTTGCCGCCAACGACGATCCAGCGACCATCGCCGAGAGTCATGCCGCCGGCACAGAACGCGTTGGAAGTGACGTCCATGGTGCGGTAGGTGTTGGCGTTGTAGTTGTAGGCGACAGCCCAAGCTGGATGGCCAGCAACGGAGACGGGGTTATTCTCGGTCTTGTCGAGGATAATGACCTGACCGTTGGATTGCAAGAACATCATCTGTGCAGAGACGCCCGAGTTACCGACCACAGACATGGTGTTGGCTTGTGCATCAGCAGCGGGCGCGGCGGCAAAAGCCGCGACTCCCAATGCGGCGAGCACGTAGTTACGGTATGCTTTGCTGAACATGATGAAGAGCTGTGCAGCAACGCTGTGGGTGTGCTTGCCTGTTCTTGAAGAGATTGGGATCGACTAGTCCGTGCGAGACCGTGAGGTTCGCGGGTATTGTAGATCGAACCTGTGCAAAGGAAGGTTTTACGTCGCGCTGACGAGTGTGAAAAGTGAGGGACTGTGGTGGTGTAGGCAGTGAAATATGCGCACTGTTCGCAAAGGAGAGCTGCTATCGGGGGGAAAGAAGGGGGAGAGAAGACCTTGGTACGGTGGTGGAGATGTGGATGATCACGGAGGTATGTCCCGATCCTTGCCCAAATCTGTCCAGATCGTTCTCGCTCTGAGATCCCACCAAGCGTGACTTTCGCTCGTCCGACGGAAACTTGTCCAGCCACCGCAGGAGCAGTAGTGTAAGGCGTGCAGTCGTGAATCGACCCTGAAGAAAGCGAACACAACGCGCTGGCGCTGCAGACCCAAGCTCGACGATAGCGGCCGGGAGGTTGGGAGAGCATGCAGCGATATTTGCTCAAGTGTTCGATCACTCGTGACTGTTATGGAGCCTTGATGCATGCCGATGCAGGCAATCCGATGAGGGCCATGCATCGATCTTTCTTCCCGGGTGGGGGTGCTGACTGGTGCGGCGCCTTTCATGTGCTCGCCGGCGCAGCTCCCACAGCAGTGGCAATGGCTTGCTTGCATATGCGAAGAGATGCAGGCCACCGGTTCAGATTCCTGCAGCAGGGGGGAGATGTCACTCTGCACAGTAGCAGCGGAGTTCCAACCGCCCCGCTCCCTGGTTCCAATTCAAGAAACACATCTGAGCAGCCTTGCGGTCCTCCATTCGACGCATCGCATTTATATGTGTAGCCTGTCAGTCGGGTATAGGAGTATTTAGAGACTGACAAGTCAAAAATGGATCTCTCTCCGTTTCAAAACCTCAAAATCACAGTCGAATCAGCTTTGCTTTAGTATGAGAGTATGAGATCGCTTGGCTACGCCGCGGTGACAGGTGTGATGTGTGGCGCTTAATGAGTGAGCCATATTCCAAGATTTGATCAGTCTCAACTTACCAGTTTAATTGAAAGGAGCA